GAAATTGGGTCGTTATAGCAGCCAAAAATACAACAATAGAATAAAATACTTAGATAGATATATAAGGTCTCAGGGTTGTTTTTTCTTTTTTTGTTTGTTTTACCAATTCTATTTTTGGATACCTACATCACAACAGGTTTGTTTTGTTTATATTATGAATACAGTATATTATATATATATATAATATACTTTATATCTTGAGTCTTAACTTGTTGAAAAGTAGTCAATAAATTGTTGGCTATAATCCTGTCAACTCATTAAACTCATTACACTTTCTCCACACATAGCTCAATTTCATATCTATATATTTCCTCCTTTTATTTGTTTCTCTGTTTGCACCCATTAACAAAAGTGCCTATGTAATTGCTTATGAATTTTGCTTTACTGCATCTTTTTAAACATCAACAGTTGAAATGATTTCTCCCCAGAGGATTGAAGTGATTCTGGGTTTTTAATGTAAAAATGTCAACATTAATACTTATACTAACACATATGCAGGTCATCTCTGTCTATAACAATGTGGACCGAACAGTCTTATCTCATCTCTGTCTCAAATATCAACAAACAAGCCATATCGTTTGCCATCAGTGCCACACCTCAACATGCTTCAGCTCATATTCCCTAACATATCAGGTCCAGATCTGTCTGTTATATGGGTTAAATCATTCTTCACCACAACAACGATTTTAATCTATTGTTCCATCCAGGTTGAGCTCAGATTACCAGTAGTTGGTATTTGCCTTTGGGTTACATTAAAACATAGTCTTGTAGTGATTGGGGCGATACCAGCTCTTTTTAGGGAGCAAAATCATGTGGCTCTACTCAGCTTTAAGAGCTCTTTCTGATCCAAAACAGCTCTTTATTTAGTACCTCTGGCTTTTATAATTCAGCCAAATTGAGCAATATTTTGACTTATGAGTCATTAAAATGTTTCAATTTGATTATACTAAACCTGAAAATGTTCAGAATATCATATATATACATTATGTGAAAGCATCAAACCCTATTAAACATGTGTATTTTATTTACATTGAACTATGATTTGTATGTTGGCTAGTTGAGTCTCACCATGTATTTGTCTTAATGTTATTACCAAAGTGAAAAGTCTCTGCATTGTATTTAACTATTACTTTATAGGATCATCCTATTATTCTGTCTTATATTCATTTATGAGAAAAAGAATTAAAGGAGGCAGCTCATAGCACCAACTTGTTCACGAACGACACATCACTATTTGCTTGTATTAGATGTAAACACTGATCTGCACACACTCGACCTGAATTTAATTTAGGCTGCTCAAAGCAAAAAAACCTTTAAGAGCAGATCTTTCTTTTCCAGAACTGTGTCCAGATCTGGAATTATTTTCCACTGGAGAGATAGTCTGTATGTGGATTATACAGAGTGACAGTGTGTCCAACAGCTAGAAAAAACAGGGATATTGATCCCGGAAGAAGAGGTTGAAGTATCTCAGAACTAATAAAGGACAAATAAAACCAAAACTATTGCCTTTTTAAATAACTTTCTGTGATCTTTGTAATGTATTTGTGTTTTTATGGTCCATACTGTATTTATGGCCAATTGTTTGTTGGTTACGTTGGTTATATGGTAAAATAAAGGAAAATCTTATCTTATCTTATCTCATGCACACACTGCTGGCTGTACCACCAATTGCCCCTCAAGGATAATAAAGCTATCCTTGATCCTTGAACCATCTGCACACCTAAATCCCATTAAAGCTAAGTGACAAAATAGTCCTGTGTTTTTTGCAATTTGGGTGAAGTGACCCCTTTATAGACCTGTTGCTCCACATTCCTTTATGTGTTTCTTTTGTATTAAGAATGTGAACAACCCTCTTTCAAGGGAGCAGTAACACTGTAAGGCCTTTACAGCTCTAAGTAACCAGAAAGCTAATCCTTAAACACAGGGAACCCCCTGCCCTCCAGTTCTTAGACACCGGCAAGAGACGTAACGTATTTCATTCAACGTGGCTGGAATGGAAAGTTTGACGCTATGTCACAATCATTTTTCTTTCTTATCGTGTAAACCATCAAAGATGACCATGACCAGTTGTGTCATTGCTAATCTGATAGCTGACAGAGTGACTTACTCTCACAAATATGTCAAACAGACATTGAATCCAGATGTGATCGTTGGTTGAATTCTGTATGCTCTCTGTTAATAGAGTTTAATCTTTACTGGGGTCTGTAAATATTTATTGATCGAGTCAGAGCATGGTGAGGGACAAAGTAATTTATTTTTTCATTATACAACACAAGAACACAAGAAAAGAAAGTTGTAGTCCCATCATGCTACACATACCAAGAAAGTAGCAGATAATTAAGTTTGGATAATGTAAAATAAAATAAGACAATATATACAGTTATTTATGTACTTATACACACATAAAATAATTCTGCAGTGTATTTATTGAACTTATGTATGTGGGAATGTAAACAGCAGCAACAAGATAGTGAAGAATATGAGAATTCATTAATATTTTCATGGTTTTCAAGATAAAATACACATGTAATCTCAAGTATTTATAATAAGTGTCCCTTTGAGCCTTAAACATTTGTGCAAACACAATATTTCAAGGGAGAGACACATCTGGCAGCAACTTTGAATATTTGTTATGAAATATTCTGATTTTGAGCACATTTCTTTGACAAAGAAAGAATTATTTATTGGAATCACTCATGCATACCCTCCATCTGGTCTTGTCAGGGGTGTGTGGAGGTTAGAATTAATGCGACGTCTGTCATCTAAGCTAACAAAAAAGCTGTTTTCTAAAAGATATAATGTGACTTAAGCAGAAGAATGGCGTAGAGAGTAACTGACCAGGTGGTGTCAGACCTAAAGTTTCCTAACGATGAGAATCAACACTAGTTTAAAAACTGTTGACTTTTGACCCCCCAAAAGGGTCGAAGGAGAAGTTGTTTTATTTTCTTGAGTGAATCATACTTTCATGTAATTTAATACCAGCTGACTCTACTGTTCTCTTAATTTGATTTACAAATGTTTATATTAGTTTTATCTTTAAGATCTTACAAATACAAAAACTGTTTGGACAGCGGAGGTAAATCAGTTCCATCATACATGAGCTGATCATAACTTATAAGTACAACCTCACCTTTATTTTTCTTATTTTTATGAATAATTTGGCAGTAAAGCCGAGACAGTTGTGCATGAAAGTTCTGGTATCACCAAGATTATCATGATAATTAAATAACAATGCATGATTTCCTAAATATTTGTGGTGAGCTGAAGTTTCTGCTGTGGTTCTAATAAAAAGAAGTGCTTCTTATCAAAAACTTGGCAAGGAAGATGATCAAAAGCATCACATGAGCATACACTCAATGGGGCCTGTACTCTGAGGAGGACTAGGTACATTTTGATTGGCTTCATAAAGGTTTATATGGTAACTTAAGGTCAGTTTACTTATAATGGGCAGTACTCAGCCTGCAAACAGTAATGTGATCTGTGGCTCTGGACGGAGACCAATGTTTGAAAGAATGACCCTCAGTTTGAGAGTGGAGATGATATTTTTTAACAGAAAGCATGTGTTACAAACTGAGGGCTTGAAGTAGGATCAGAAAATAAAATATTTTACTCTACAGTAAGTTGCATCCAGTGTTTCTCAAGTGTGACCCAGGGACAAAAAGTCGTCAACATCGGATGGATGTTTTGAACTAATCTTCTTTAATCTGTCTTTCACAAATCTGCCAACTTTTGGAAGTGCAAAACTAAATCACTGGAGTGCACCTTAAACCTCAAATCCTCCATCTGACAGCAGATTTGCAATATGCAACCCATATTAAATCAGACATTACAGTATTAAAGTAAAGCAGTAAATACTTTTCATTTTCATATTTGAAGCTCTTCTAATCCAATGAGAAAATTTATTTTTTAAGCTCAAAATAGCAGAATACAAAATAAAATCTGGACTGAGGATACTAAAGTCATCTCTTCTAAAGTTTGTGTATTGCTTCTGGAAATTTGAGCATTACATTTTATAATTACAAAACTAACATGGTGGGTATTATAAATGCCAATTCCAACATTTTTAAACTCAATATATTTAAATTTGTCCACCTTTACAAAAACTTTACAATTAAATATTTCTTCACTAGAATATTTCTTCCAGCAATTTGAAACTGCATTTAGACATTTATGTTGGGAAGTGAAATATACAGAAAATATTAATGAACCTTTGACTGAATACATGAAATCTGAAAACTTTACTTTTCAAAAAAGACCAAGTCACACTGCCCTTCACAAGATGGAATAAGCTTTTTTTTTTGTTAGCTTTCGTACGGTTGAGTAGAGGCGGAATGTGTTTAGGGAGCTTGGACTGATGACAGCAGTATTTCTAAGATTATGGCAATAAAACCCTGATAAAAATAGTATATTTATAGAAATTTGACACCACAGCCTTCTCCATACAATCAGTTTTAAATACAGTCACAAAAAAAGGTCTGAACTGAGACTGTGACAGGAGGAACTCAAAGCCAGATAAAGGATTTAGTTCTGGTGAAGCCAGTAGGTGGCGCCCTGTCATTTCAAATGAAGATGAATCCAAAATGACATGCTCAACCCTCAGATCCTCCTCAGCCTGTGCAGCCTATTTGTTCCTAAGCAAGGACATATTTGCTTAGTGTAATGGTTTTATACTTCCATACTGAACGAAAATTCACTATTACACCAAACACATTAGGCCTTACGCCCAAATCCATTATCAGAAAATGCTCGTTCCCTCGAGGTTCATACAAAGAATCTATTGACAAACTAGTTCTGCTGCTTGTTTCATACAGAGAGAATCACAGAGGTTTTATTATATCATTATGTATCACTGCCATCTGTTGTATTGTTGATGGCCAGTGATGGGACAGGTGTTCGCTGACCACACGTGTTTATACAAGCAAATAATGAATCAATAATACAGACTGCAAATACTGTGAGACAATATGTCCAATGGGAAGATAAAACATTATTCTTCTTTTAAAATGTTTAATATTACAGATTTAATGGTAGCTTGTGTAAATGTACTCAATGTGGACAATGTGGCGGCTGAAACTGAGCTGCTTAGAACATGTAAAACAATACAGGGAGTGAGGTATATATGGATAACATGCTCTGTTTCAGCACTGTATATGTAATTATATATTGTGATAGCAATGAACAGTATGAATATACATGTGTCATGATATAGAAAATCAACTGGCAAACTGTAAATATACTGGAAATATAGGGATAAAAAGTGGCTAATCCCAGTGGTGGAAAGTAACCAAGAGTTCTGTTCTTAAGTACTTTACTTGTATATTTCCATTTTATGTTATACATCAACACCACCATGTTTCATATAGAAATATTACACTTTTTACTCCAGTGTAGCAAAAGTTACTTTTCAGATTATAGTTCTACATTCAAAGATCATTTTATAAAATAGGATGCACTCTACACTAAAGAATATAAATATTGTTTAGATGATAAATTCATTGTTTAGTTTGTGACATTAATTTATATATTTTTATGTTTTATTACTTATTTATTTAGTCAGTTATCTTTGTTTATCTTATACGTATGAAATTAACTCTCAGGTTTACCAAATAAAACAACAACAATAATGTAAATTGTGTATTTTACTTAATCTCCTATATGAATGTAGTTTATTATCAACGCATTATACTGTATACATGCACCATGGAGCATTGTGGGAACACAGGGCACGATTTGAACGAGTGCCCTTAAGTCCTACTTTAAATTTTAAAGTTGCATAATTATGAAATTTTCACAAAATAATTTATCATGCCAGTAGTCAGGAGTTTTCAGTCCTTCTGTCCTTACAGTTTTTCAGTGTACAGTTCAACTTTGGAGGGTTTTTTACAAAAGCCTGAAATCACCTTGTTAAGGAGACATTTTTCCCACTTGTCACCATGGATGTGCCAACCAGGCACAGTCCCAGGAGCCCAAGGGGTCGTGGGGCGCACAAGGACTCGCAAAACAACTAAACAGAGGTGCAAAACAACCACAAAGAGATGCAAAATGACCACAAAGAGCAGCAAGACAACCACTTAGAGAGGTAAAATGACCACAAAGACAATGAAAACAATCACAAAGTGATGCAGAATAATAAAAGAGAGACACAAAATGACCACAAAGAGACATAAAATGCCCACAAGAGATGCAAAATGACTACAAAATGCAAAGAGACACAAAATCACCACAAAGAAACACATAATTACAAGACAGAGACACAAAACCACTACAAAGAGATGCAAAATTACCACAAAGCAATGCAAAATGATGAAAGAGAGATGCAAAATGACCACAAAGAGACATAAAATCACCACAAAGAGATGCTAAACAACCACAAAGAGCCACGAAATAACACAAAAAGACCATAAAGAGACACAGAACCACTACAAAGAGATGCAAAATGACTACAAAGAGAAAAAAACTAACCAAGACACAAAACTGCAGTTTGTAGTTTTGCGTCTCTTTGAATCTGAGGAGTGGCGGGTTCTTTTTAATGCCTGTACCCAGGGCCCCATTGTCACATAATCCATCCATACTTGTCACCACATATCAACCTTAATCAGGTTTTTCTTCATGTTAAACAGCTAAATAAACAGTAAAGCAGCCAATGATTCCCACAGTAGTTCAATTCTGTTCAGATTTGGAGGCCTTGTTAGTATTCAAAAAGAACCGGCTTTGCCATGGAGGGCAATTATGTTCACAGAAAATTAACATTCATTGTGTGTCAGTGACATTATGCGAGTATCTGTCTCAGTATGAAGCAACCAGGGACCGAGAGCCGTGTAATCAATATCTATTAGTCCTCCCATCAGAAGAATTAGATTTCACTATTAGATCAGCCTGCTCCCCTGACTCGACGTCAAACATTATAAGTTGACTGGACATGTCATGCGCCGATGTAGCCGGCTAATGAAAGAATACAATAAGAGGAAATATGATCCAACTCACGAGGAGTTATTCTGTGTGGAGGCCAGTAGGTGTCAGACTCACACCAGTGAAAGACACAATGAGACATAAAGCAGAGAGTGGCTTTCACATTTTATTATTATTGACAGGGTACATACATAAATGGGAACTTATTGGTAGATTGTGTCAGAAACCAGGACCGCTGTTCTTCTTTTTTCTTTTTTTTTTACAAACCAAATTCAACAAATGAGACAAAAAGAAATGCAGTGGTGTGAATGGTAGATTTCACATATTTTATACAGTGTCTTCTTCTTATAAAATCAGATCATCAGATGATAGGAAAAGGTTTTGGTTTTGTCTGTTTGTGACTCACAGATGCATGTAATGATAGAAAAAACCCTGAAACAGAGACAGCAATGAGATCAGATTTGTGTTAAAATAGTCTAAACTGTACATCTATAAATGGCTCAAGAGTGTTTTTTTTTAATCATCACTTCAAACTCGGTGAAAAAGAAAACCTTTTTATTGTTTGTTGTCAAACCTGAATGGCTGTTGAAGTAAGTGCTCATAATAATGTGCTCTATTTTAAACGTAAAGATCCACATATTTTTTCGATAAAGGAATTTGGTATAGGATGGCATGGTCAAATTCAGAAATGTTGCCCATTTAAAGTGCTTAACAACATATACAGTGTTACAAATAATCTAAACAATAACTTAAACCAAAGACAGATAAATAACAAATATATGTAAAAACTCAAGAGATATTCAAACAAGCAACAAAAAGCTAAATAATGAGATACATTTGGAACTTAATATCACAATTATACAAGCCATTGCACATCGTCACGTGATATATATATGTATATGTATATAGTGTTGTTTTTTCTTTTCAGGATAGCTAAAGAGCAGACGACTTTGATTCAGAGAGACTCCTTGGTTTGAGCTTTGCAGCTTCAGATCAACAATCCTTTTGATTCACAACATAAAATGAACTCCATGTTTAAGCAACTCCTGATCTCTTTTACTCAAGAGTTCAGTTTTTTGAAGGGGAGAGGTCGCTGCCAAAGACCGTCTCAGAGTCTTGACGTATTCACTCAAGTGCTAAAATCAGTAGTGTATGTATACAGCAGGGTGTTAATCCGTGGGTTACAGGTGGGAGGTGAACACATGAGCGCTCTCGAAGGCGGACCTGTGTGTGTTTTATTTTTGGCTGTGCTGGGGTGGGGTGCAGGGGTCAGGTGGGGGCCGGGCACTAGGGAGGCAGCAGCGGGGGCTTGAAGGTGCAGGCTCCGGTACACTGACGAGGAGTGAGCATCTTGCAGGAGAAATGGTGAAGGGCGTCATGAGCTTCTGGGGAGGAACATGTCCATCAGTGAGAACATGCAGACAAAACACAAAACAACAACTCTTACAAATTATTCTTCACTTTACAGGTGGAAGTTGGTTTATTTATTCTAGTGTTGTTGTTAAAGGAAAGGTTCACGTTTCTTCATGTCTGTTTGTCATTTGAACTGTTTTTTGGTTGTTGGAATTGTTCCTATTGTCCATAAAGATATTTGTTCTTTGCATGAGTTCAATCTAAGTGATGAGAGGCAAAATGTACAGTCCTTGTTCTGTGTAAAATTAACACATTAAGTATCTTTTAGTACAAAACTGCCTCTTTGTGTTTCCATAAGTCAGGTGTCCTAACTCTTAAACCATGATTTTAGCTTTATAGTTTGTGTCTACAGTGTGTAATAATATTGCTTTTTTTATTCTGTATATGGTTGTTTGAACTACATGATGCTACATCTCATTTAACGGAAAATTCAAGATGCCATGTGCATCATTCTATACATTTTCCCACAGTTCAACCTGCCGTTTATGATATATCTGAATATGTTGGGATCTTATGTATAATATAAATAATTATCTGTGTGTTTGCACAATGTTAATCCAAACAACCTTCAGCTGTAATGATGGCAGCAGAGGTTTTTTTTTAACAGAATTATCAGAAAATTGTTGAAAGAAATGAGAATGAATGTGCATTTCCATCCACTACCAAACATTAGGAGTTGGCTTATCAAGATGAACAGCTGGTGACGCTAATTCTCTAGTCGGGAGCCATTAAAACACTGCAGAGGAAGAGGGCGCAACAAGATGACGTAATTAAAAGAGCACCAGTCAAATCACCGAGAAATATAGCATTTATGTTTGTTTGTGCATTAATCAGATGAAGGTTACAGTCTCCTCATCTCCCCACACTGATCTGCCGATACTTTAAGTCTCTTCAGTGGCTGTTTAAGTTACAAGCTTCATGTGCGTCTGTTTCTATTGCACATTGTCGCATTTTGCTTTTATACAAAACAGCCTCAGACTTTTTTTTGTGATGTTCCTTACAAGACAGTAAGTTCTTGCTGGGCTGTGGTGAAGGGTTAGGAACAAACAATTGATTTGAGTAATTCAGATTGCTGAAGCATCAAATAATCTTTGACTGAATTTAAATATTATTTCTGCAGCAGTGATTTTCTTGTCACTTACATTTAAATTGCTTTAAGCCAGAACGGACAGGAAGAACCATTAAAGCGACTTTCAATGTACATTATGGGCATGTGAGTGTTGTTTTAGGACAGACTTGAACAAATGTGAACCCATCCTTTAACAGTGTATTTCTCTCAATATTTATCACACTGATCAAAGGAGATGTTTAATAAAAAAAGTAGCACTTGCATATTTAAGTTTATAGGCAAAAAAATGACATGTATACATGTTTCTTTTTTTTGGACCAGATAAAATTACCTTTTAGCTTCTGCTGTATTGCATAACGAGCCTTTCTCTCTTGGTCCAACTCGCTGCACAAAGTGTCTATCCAAAAATAAAATGAATAAAACATAAATAAAATTGGTCAAAAAAGGAAGAAAAAAAAAGAAAATGTGAGGTGTAGCATCTGAAGTGAAGGAGTGTAATGTATGCCGTTTGCCCCTATGGTATTTAGAGTGACCCCTCTGTGTACTTGAACCCTGTATTTAAACTACTGTAACATTAAACCAATCCTTTAACGGGTGGCATTAGTTGCTGTCTACTGCATGTAACCGATACAGCACTACATAATGGTCTGTCTATTCAATTTTCCAGAGCATGATTTAGGAGAAAATAACCTTTGCAAACAAAACAATGTGGTTTCAGTTTCACCTTTTGATATCTAATAATTTACTCAACTTCAGGAGAAAAAATATGGAGTTTACAGGAAAAAGGCTGGGCACATATCGCCAATATTTCAATATGCAAGTGTCACTTTTCCTTTCTTTTTTAGTTTAGAGGCTAGTTGGTTCAGATTGATTGATATGGCCTGTGTTACTTAAACGTTTTTTTTTTTGTGGCTCAAATTTTTTTCCCATAAACTTAAAGAGCATTGATCTACATCCGCTTTACAGTCATAATCTATAGAGTACAAAGAGAGACCAACCTCGAACAATCTGCAGCTGCTGGACCATTTCCTCTCTGTAGGACAGCTCACGCTTCATTTGATCCTGAAAATTATCTGAAGAGTACCGAAGGCCACATCAGATGGAAACTCTCTGACATTGTGGAGATAAATTTAAAGGCACATTCCTGGATTCAAAGGAATCAAAATAACTTGCTGTTCTCTTAACATCTATAGGCTGCAAAGCACAAGGGTTTAAGATCCAAACAAAGACACCAAATTCATTATCCCTCTGTGGCTTTGACTCACAAAATACAATCAGACTCACTTTTTTTCCTACCTTTTAAATGCTGAAATTCTCTCTCCAACTTTTTCCTCAGCTCAACTTGTTCCACCAGCTGCTTCTGCAATTCCTCTGCAAAAGCCAAAAATGTGTCAATTTAAACGTCAAATTCTTTTCATCTGCAGCAAGAAAATGTCATTATTCACCCTAAAAACACAGAAACACACCCCAGCTGACACCTCTGAATTACAAGCAGGGACTTGGTGCACTAGAATAGCATGCACCATAATGCAAATAAACCACCAATATCATAAAAAAAAATTAAAAAAAACATTTTCCTTCTCTATCCTCATCTACCTCCCATCAATTTGATTCCACTTAATGTGATATACTTTGAATTTCTGCACATGGAGATTTATGTCAGCTCAGTAAACCGACTTCAGGTGCGTTTACATCCTTGATAACAACCATTTCACCGCTCTCCTCTCACTGCTGCCACAGTAATTGCCATGCATTGCCTGGAGGTTGAGACGATAATAATGGAGTCCCAGGGTTTTTCCAAGCGTTGTAAAATAATTAGCTGCCGTGCCTCGGGGTTATGGCTCTGTTCGTTAAAATATTAATAGCCTCTAAACGATTTCCTCTTACAATAATAAGTCAAAACTCCCACATCTCGTGATTAAGTGGTTTAACAACTATGGAAACACTTTAGGCCCACAAAAATGTAAATTCAACATTTAGATTTTGACACGTCATCTTTAGCAGGCCGTGGGCATTTAGCTGCTTTTAAAATGAGGTGGAATTCAATGTTTAATATTAATATAATATACATATATTTTATTATTTTGATAATTAAACAACCCTGGACAAACGGTCGAGTTAAATTTTGGGGTTTATAAATTCACTCATTCAAGCTAATTAGCAAAAAGATTGCCTATATTGAATTAATTTTAATTTCTTATATTTAAAAATAACAAATAAATACCCGTATTAATTAAACGTGGCGAGCAGGCCCTGTCAGCCGTTTAGCTGCTGTATAAATATGTATTTGTTGGCTGGCGACACACGAACCCAAATTACAATCAAAAACAGGAATAATTGCTGATTATGATTAATATCACCTGCTACACTTTTTCTTTCCCTTTTGATCCTAAAAACAGCCTCTTACCTTTGGCCATGTTCTCCAGGTCTCTTTCATGAACGCTGATATCGATGCGTAAAGCTCCATCGGCTGCACAAAAACAAAACACAAACATATACATGTCATCTATGTAAGAGTGTCATTTAAATGGGGTTGAGGATGAACAGTAAAATAGATAATAATGCCATATTATTATTTATTATTACTAGAACAGCAGAATAATTTAAAAACCTTGTCTGTCTTTTTGCTCCTGGTGGGATGTTCGTTGGTTCTGTGTATCAGAAACGTGATGGACACCTAAAAATAAACAGTCGACAAACATTTTTTACTAAAGAAGACACAAAAAACGCCCGAATTTGCATTAATAACTACAAATTGGTTCAATAATCACCGTTGGATCTGCTCGATTGTTTCGACCCGAATGATGAAGGCTCGTTCAGGAGCACGTGGCCGTCCTTTTCATGAGCGTACACCTGTAAAGCGAAGCAGACACTCGTGTTTTAATAAAGCAGACCAATTACATGTCCTTTAATGCGGTTCTTCACATAATTGAGGCATTTTTGAACCAAAAACCCAGGAGCCCCTGTAATTTGTTATGGAGATGCTGAACTAATTCCTAAAAGAAACCAGAAAGGCTTTTTTTTTTTACAACAATCAAAAGCACTAATTTGGTGGTAAAATGTCTTATAATTGAAGAGACACACCGAGAAACATTTTAATAGGAATAAATCAAAAAACAAATCAGGATAAATTAGGGTTTTATACTTTAATTACCATAATTGAAAACGGCAGAATCTGAGATACATTAGTACAAATTGAGGTGGATCCTTATTGATCTTTTTTTAAGGTAAATTATCTTTTCACTGAATATAGAATCGGCCTTGCTGCCTTGCTGCCTTGCTGCCTTGCTCAAAGACACAGAGCAGTTTAATGACATTTTCTAAACACTAGACCATCATATTAACATTTATTCTGGTTAATACTTAGAAAATAAACACCATCAAAAATCTGCAGTAATATCTTTTTTTTCAATTCCAGGCCAATTGATCTTGATTACATTTTTATCGGCCTCCTCTCTTCTATTAACTGTTATCATCATATTCTCCACTACTGCGACAATTCAACTTCCCCCACGGGGATCATTAAAGTTTCATTTAATCTAATCTTACTTCATGAAGAGGGGAGCCATTACGCATCCGCCTGTCCTCATCTGATGACCCCGTGTGCACGGAGTCCTCCGGTGATGCTGCTGCTGCTGCTCCCGGGCTGGAGGCGTCAGGCTGCTCCTGACTCTCCTCAGCACCCGAGGAGACCCGGTCCGGGACAGGTGAGTCATGGTGGTCCCTTCCCGGTGATATCTGGATCGGCTCATCCTCGTCTTGTCCACGGTTTGACTCCACATCCACGTCCGGGTCCTCGTCGTCGTCGTCCACCACGCTGTCCCTGTCCGGTGATATCGATCTATAACTGGAGCTCTCGCTGATAAAATCCGGGGACAGGTAGCCAGGGCGCACGCCGTAGCTGTCCCGGGTGCCGTAGAGTTTGGCGATGGTCTCCGCGTCTTTAACCACGGGTCTGAAGGCCGAAATGTAGCTGATTTTCCTCTGTGAGGTCTCGTCCCCGGACTTGTCCTCGTCGTTCCTGGTTGAGGAGGACTGGGAGCTGGAACAGCGCTCTCCACCGTCCTGCTGATGGTGAGAGTGGTGGTTGCTGTCTTTGGGTGTGTTTGCGCCCCGGTCACTTTGGTCCGATAAGTCAAGCTCGCTCTGCCGGACGCCTGGCAGCTCTGGAGGAGGTTTGGGTGGAGACCCTGGGTAGGGTGGCATGGGTAGGCCACCAGCTGTAGGCCAAAACATGGGGAAAGCAGGGTAGAGGGTGTCCTTTGCGCCAGGCCAAAACACACCAGACACATTGGTTTTGTTCGCATCAGGCACACCGTCGCTCTTTTTCTGACACAGCCCATAGCTGGGGAAGCCATAGGGGTGGTGTGGGAACAGAGGTGGGGGGATTTTCTGAAGCATGCCAAAGCTCTTGCTGGGCACTGGGATGACTGGGTAGGTCCGAGCGCCGCTCGCCAAACTCAGGTTATTATTCCCCTGATCCTCGTCGCACCGTAAAGTTTTGTGAGGGATCTCAGGGGAACTGGTTTGGGCCAGGGTGGACGAAGCCTGTGATTTCATCGATGAGGACATCCCCGACCCGCTCATGGGCAGAGTCCTCTTTCTACTCCCACCGTTGAACATGGCCTTTACATCCTCCCACGCGTGGTTAATGTCCTCAGATTTTTTGTCCGTCAGTTTCAGGTGGCGTCTCCACGAATTGAAGTTGGCCGCGTCCGGCTGCAGATACTTGGACTCTGTGGTGCGATGGGAGTGGAAAATGAATTTATTTGGGGAGAAATACATGTTGCAAAAGCTGCACTTGATGCACTTTGCTCTGGAGCTGTTGTATCTTGCGGGTATGAAGCTGCCCCTGCAGCCCCAGGCGCATTCATGAAACACATCAAATGCGAAATTTTCTGGTAGCTTTGGAGGGCTGTGCGCTCCCAGGAAGGACTTGCAGAGCCTCTCGGCCTCCCGTTTGGTGATCATGCCGCAGCGCCTGGAGGAGATGGGCATGGCCCCGGCGCGCCGCAGGAGCTCCAGCTGGACCGGGGTGCACTGCACACAGGTGATGCCCAAAGCCACCCGGCGGTTGTGTATCTCGTTGTAGCTGTAGTTTTTCAGCAGGGTGTTAGAAATCTGCGCCAGGCAGAGTCTCTCCTTACCGTCTATGACCAGACATACGATGGGAACCCCGTACAGGGAGGTCTCACTCACTTGGTTTGGTTTGAGGGAGCTGGGGCTGGAGAAGCTCTGTGCGTCCTGCTTTGAACTGGGGGAAGAGCTGGCGTCTCGTCCCGCGTCTCGAAGCTGTCCGGGCGTCGACTCCATCCCTGGAAGCCTGTCAATCAAAGAGGAAACTGGAGTGACTCGGGGGGCTGTTTGACAGTATGTAAAGCACAAATATTACCAGTGCATCATCTCAATCATTATTTAGCTTGTGACAAAAAAAAGACAAACAAAAAAAACCCAAATGTGTTAAAGAAAAAGAAAAACAGTGTCAAATTATATAAGAAAGTATAATGTTTATATCTGGTAAATAGAGAAAATTCTTTTAATTATTATTTTCATTATTATCTTTATTATTATATATATATATTTTAATTATTAATATTATTACTATTTTATATATTAATGTAATATCTGTGGTGATAGGGCTATTACTGATATTATAGGGCTATGTCGATATTTATTATATTTATCATAATGATGTTGATAATAATGATAATAACAATAACAACAATAATAATAATTACAGCAACAATATTAATAATAATACAGACATATTTTTTAAAAAGGACCAATGGTGACTAACATCAGGCTTTTGCAGGAGTTTATATTGAAAAGTGAAATCGATCAGACGTCTTGTTAATTATTTCTCGTATTGGTTAATTCCTCCGTGTATTCGGCCTCCTCTTTCAGGTAATCCGGGTTCCTGCGCGGAGGTGGATCTGGTGCTCCTCTTATCTTCAAATCGGCTCTGCACTTATGGGGCAACTACTTAAGAGTCACATAAGATCCTTATACGCGGATAAGGACAGAAGGAAAATGCAGACTGAGCTGCGCCAATGCGCTTAGCACAGAGGAAAAGAACAACTATAAGCTGCTTTCCTGGTAATTACACAGATCCAAGAGCGCGTCTTCGCATTGTTAATAAAAGACTAGCCCTATATATAATTAAAGCGTCTGCGCAGATTAGCCTCAGCCAGTTGCTCGAAATTAGGTTGAAGCGGGCCTATCTCACGTTCACCTGCGCATAACCTACTTACTTATTGCATCCCGTCGTTGTATTTACAGAGGCCGGTACAATGCATGTAAAACAGCGGCCTTAAAGACGCCAATACAACTATTTTAGAGTGACATTTCATGAGTTATGGCACACATTTTGTGCGCTAAATAAAAGGGCAAAGACACAAAGACATTCAAAGAGAGACAGCAAAATTATCACCATTTCTGGAGAGATCAATAATTAAAAAAAAACAACAACAACAACATACCTTTCTCTCCTAAAAAGACGACACACTCCAACTGGGTTTGGGATGGGAAAAATGATAATTAATATTAATAAATAGATGGAAATGCAGGCCCGGTGAGTCCAGAGAGGGAACGATGCCACAGACAAGGAGGTCTGACAGTGGAAACTCTGAGCTGGAGTCTTTATTTCAGTTTATTTCAGCGCAGGCAGCAGCAGACAGGACCTCCATCGCGTTGGATCCCGGGGAGGTGAATGGCTTGTAGACAGGAAGCACATGGCACCTCTCTCTCTCTCTCTCCCTCCCTCTCTCGTACACACACAGACACACACTCTCTCTCCTGTCATGCTGATGTGTAATAGCTCTCTCTCTCTCTCTCTCTCTCTCTCTCTCTCTCTCTCTCTCTCTCTCAATGACGTGCTGAGCGGCTACACACCAGTTTTAATAATTCACATTTTTTCAGCTCTGACGCACAAACGTGACCAAAAACAGAAAAAATATCACGCACAATTAGGCCCCGCTGACCCCAAATGGAGGAACATGTTTGCGTTAAGACGGATGTTTATGAAGAGGCATATGTTGGTTATTAAGCTACATAATAATGATTAAAAACAACACACACAATCTTGGAAATATCTGCCAAAAGACACCAAAATAGAGTGAAATTATAACTGTGACCCCCATGGACCCCGTCAAGGACCCTCTAGGGGGCCCCCGGACCCCACATTGGAAACCACTACAGGCCTAAGTGATCATGCACAGTGTGTTTTTAAGCATCAGTTCAGCTGTAATCATTCACATCCTGTATTATTTCCACCGCAGCAGGAGCGAGCTGACAAACAGAGGCAGCCCGACTGGCACTTTGGAGGGCAACAAGAATGACAAAAGGCCCGGGCTCATTTATCAAGTTACACGACCATCTGTTAGGCTTCCACACCGGCCACGCAAATCAATCTGAGGGCCTGAGCGATAAAAAAGGAGGAAGAAAGGAAGAAATGGAGGACAAATAAATAAATAAAAGAAAGAAAAAAGACGGCTTGGGTTTGTTAGTTTTTTGTTTGTGCGTCAAATAATTTGGAGACGATTTTTGTTCTTTGCAATGAAAATGGATGAATCTGGGATGACGACGATGACGCCTCAGGCCAGACCCCCCCTTCTCTTTCTCTCTTTCTCTTTCTCTCTTTCTCTCTCTCACACACACACACACACACATTCACTATATAGGCTATATATATGAAGCCTAATGTTACTGATGTAAATGGTCCCAGTCAAGCCGATTGGCTGCCTTGAAGACCTTAATTTATTATTAATATCCGGATCGATGGCTGATTTTAACCAAGCTAATGTCCTGTCTGTCCCTACAGATAGAAGTATCGATACCTGCAGCAGGTGGACGACAGAGAGACAGACAGCGTTTGGAAAAGGAATCTGTGAAGAATGGAGGGAGGAAAAGGAAAAATGTATTTCAGAGGTTGCATTAAATTTAAAAATGATAATAAATGTAAATGTAAAGCCTTAAAAAGAAATATTCTCAATTATGTGACTAAGTGTTGTTTAGACAGATATTAGCTTATTACAGATCCTTTATGTCAGTGAATGTCAGGCTGAAGAAGCTTCAGTAAAGAAAAATAACTTATTTTTAACTGTAAAACTCTATTAACTTAAATATTTGGTAGAATAGTTGGTATCAACTTAAAATCCAATATTGGTGTCCTTTATGAGCAGTTTAGCGTGTGAAGAGTTAAAAGAAATTATTGCTCTTTAAATAAACCTGCTGCTGACTGTATGCTGGAGTTCTTTGGCAATACTTTCTTCTCCTGAAGCTGTGATCTGATGGGACAACATTCACTTTGAGGCATCTAACAGAGGATAAGGCCGGTTATTGTCAACAAATCTCATAGAAAGACTCAAACAATGCATTGATTGGGGGTTTATGGGGGCCAGTGAGCAGAATGTCACAGCGGACCCCAGAAAGTCTCAGACCGGCACTGGTTTCAAACTTATACAGAGCTGATTTTACATCATCTGTAGAAAAACAAAAGGCTTATGCTGCATGTGGCAAATAAGTTATACAGAAAAACATAAACAAACAAATGAATATTTTGTGGAGTTTCAAAGAAGGCAGCCAAGAGACAGTTAACCATAACTTAAGTGAGACCACAGCAACCAGAATACACAGCATACACTCAGGCTGATGTCGCAACTAGATGCGTGAGAGTTGTGATATGAACCCGAGTGTCAATGAGAATGTAGACGAGTGCACTGTATTGAGAGTGTATGTTGATGAGTGCAGTGTATGAAGAGTGTATGATGAGTGTATAAAGAGTGTATGAAGAGTGTGAGGTAAGTGCAGTGTATGAAGAGTGTGTATAAAGTGTGTATGAAGTGTGTATGAAGCATCATCAGGCTGTGTGCAGCCTGAGATCGCCAGTTTTACCTCCCTGCAATATTGATGCTGAACCTGATCCTAAGCGCATCCTCTCCTCTTTCACCATCAGGAGGCTTCCCCTGCAGCCCCCGCCAATAATTACAATTTTATACTGTAATTATTCCTCTCTTTTTAATTATTTAGACCGCCGACTTGAATGCAGCCATTGTCGCTGCTTATTCCGGGGGAAACGTGAGCTGACGTGGCTGGATCAGCAGCGAGGAGTTTTTAATTAGACATTTCAGCGGTAATTTTAGGCGAGCTCTTTATTATTACTGTTGGATACAAATTACCCGGGCCTCATTGATATGCGCTCAATTGTTTAAACAAACCTTTAACCTGAAACATTAATGCGCTTCAGGTTTAAGTCATTAGGAGTCCCAACTCACCAGGTGAACCCAGACCTGATGGATTATTTAACACGGCAGTGGATGCGACTGTTTTTCTGGGGGAGGGGGATAACGTTTAACAAGCGTTTAATTTGCAGTTGTGTAGTTGTACATGTTTTACAGCAAAGACAGGACACTGACTGCACAATAAATCCGCATCAATGTCCACAGACCAAATTAAATTCAGTTTACAAAACATCACAGGTGGGAATTTCTCATGTATTGTGCCAAATGATACCTTCTTATTATTAGATATGTTACAGGCTGCTTATTTAACAAAGTTTATTTATTTAAATGTTTTATTGTTTTGCGTTCACTGGAGCACCTCTTGCATTCAAAGGTGCCTACAAATGCTTTTACTTTATACAGTCAATTTACTGTGTTATAATTACAAAAGTCAACAAATGTGACAGTGATGTAGTTTAAGATGGGGGACTCCATTTCCCTCATATGTTTATTTATTCATTGATTGATTCCCTGATCGCCAACTTGAGATCAAGTTCAAACCTCTTATCTAATCAGCTGTCACATCACGGACTTATTGTTCAATGCAAACATGCAGCCTATAAAACAAATGTGTCTATATGCTTTTAGTCCACTGCAACATCTAAAAGCTGCACCAGTGTGAAACAAAAAAGAGGATTTAAAACGCAGAATAATAATAATACCTCTAACTGTAAAACAATAATGTGTGTTTGAAGTGTTTTAATGCAGCTGATCATATGTTGTGTTTCACCTCATTGTGTATTTCCCACACACTTGCATTTTGCCATATGATATAAAAAAGATAAATCAAGCCCGCCTCAATCAGGACAGGTTTAATAACAGCAGCAATTGAGGCCAAATGTTTTATAATTAACAGTTGTATCAGCACCCTATAAAACCATGACCCCTATAAATCCCATTTTAGAGACCAATCAATCCTCCTCTCGGACTAAAGGGCCTATTGATCCCCTCGCTGCTCGGCTCACCTAAACGCTTTCTCCATATCCTTTTTTTTTGTTTCCAGTGAAAAGAGCATTTCGATTGCACTTTTTATTG